CAGGTGGCGAGAGGGTGAGAAGAGAAGGTGGACTTAGAAGAGGAAGAAGAAGAACTCTCTCTCTCTCTGTGTCCAGTACTAACCTGTGAAGTTGGCGCCTTGATGCAGGTACCACGAAGATGGAGCTGGAGCAATGGCGCCACAGGTAAGTAACACTGGCCTCCGCCAGTCTCTCTTCCACTCTACAATCTACCACCTACCAGCACCCAGCGCTGAAGACTACAGCTACAGCTATGGCGCCCAGCGCCGAAGACTACAGCTAGCGCTACTACTACTTAGCGCTGGAGACTACTGCAGCGCTCCTCCTGAGTGCTGCGGCCGAATCCTGAAGACTACCTCGTGCCTAATGAACTACCTACCCGTGAAGAGCATGGGAACTTCCTATGTACTACGGGTGTGCCTCCTGAGCCTGCCGAAGGCAGGCAGGGGCTGCAGCTGCAGCTCCTGCTCAAACTCGTGAGGAACAGGCTATTTCTGGCCTGTTCCGCATCCCTGTTTACGTGCCTGAGTCTTAGGGGCAGGTCGAAACAATGAGGGCCTGAAAATGGCCCTCCGTTTCAGGCTGAAAACTCTGGGTCTGAAAGACCCAGAAATAGGCTGAAACGGGGTAGGGCCTGCAGGCCCTCGTTTTTCAGCATCCAGGCTGAAACAAACGGGGCCTGTAAGCCCTAAGTTTTAGGCTTTTAGGCTGAATGTCCGGGACGGGCCCTGCAGGGCCCGTGTGGCTACGCAGTATGCCACACCGACACTATATTCACAACACTCACTCTGGACCTCCCTGAATATCGCACGCACTCCTACTTTGTATCACGCACACACATACACTACTGATTTTCGCTGACTATGGTAGCTATGGCCGCACAAGCATCGATGGCTGCTCTATCTCCCTTCCAGCCCACTTCGACTTCGGGCATCTGCGGACCACCTCGCACAAGACGCTAGGCCAGAAATGCATGAATGGCTGGACGCTGCCTCTTGATTTATATTGTTGTTGGTCGCTGGTCTGCCCCTTTCCACCGGGCCCATGGTGCACACAGTCCCACATGGTATTTGGTGACAGGGACTGGGTACCACTGACTAAGCAATGTTGGACTACCCACTTGCCCACTTGCCTTTGGCCTAATGTGAGCAACACTCGAGAGGCCAGTTCCGGACCTTCCGAAAGTTTGTGGACTTGGCCTTTCGGGACTGTAGCAGCTACGACCATGACCTTAAAGAGTTGCAACAACTACGACCCCTACACAGCTATGACCTCTACTCGACAGACCTACAGCTCAAGACCCGACAACTACACAGACCTACGATAGACAACAGTCGGCTACCAAAACAGAGGTCAAGGGTTCAAAACACACAGGGGCCTACCTAGTACTGTACATGAGCGAGGTAAGGTCTAGGGATCAAGCCCTAGGATCTGCATCTGTTACTGCAAAGGTGAAAACCGTTGCATGTGGGTTCAGGGTCATATTAGAGTTCCCTGCGAGGATCCAAGTTACGACTTTGCGTAGGCTGATTGGTTGTATGTCTGCTACTGTCAACAGGCTGACTACTTCTCGCGAGAATCCCGGACTTCAAGGCGTGGGCTGATTGGTTGTATGTATGCTAATGTCAGCAGGCCGACCAATTCTCGAGAGAACAAGAAAAGGCCAATCCCGAACTTCAAGGCGCCAGCCTGTCCCCTAGATCTCGAGCAGGTATAGGCTTTATTGGTCAGGTGCAGTTTCCGTATACGTCGGCTGGGTTTGATTCAGCCATGTAGCCTTAAACCACCAGTACATGGCCCCAACCACCTGCCCCAGAAATTTTGCTGCTCGGCCCTACGAGACCACAATGGCCGGCGGCTTCAGCCAAAAACGAAAAGAAGCGAGGCACTGGCGGTTCGGAAAAGCTTGACAAGCAATGAACCACCTCCAAGCCCGTGCGAACTGGTGATTTACAGGCCATAATGCCTAGATACACATATTCCAAACTCCCTTGCTGGCTCACACATATCGACCCCCCTCAATCCATGTTTGGGTTCAGGATTATATTAGAACTCCCTGCGACGATCCAAGGTACAACTGCGCGTAGGCCCGTCTACACAATGCATGAGATTGTGAAGGGGACACCCCCTCACCCGAGGTATTCGGGTCGTACAAACTTACTATACATACAAGATCTTCCCCTATTTTTGCTCTTAGATAGGCCCATCTACCCTCCTCTCTGTCCCAATCAGCCTTGAAGCAGGGAGCAGCCAAATTGCCACTCCCATCGAAGGAGCCTTTGCCCAGGCTGAGTGGGAGACATTGAGGCACTACCCATTTTTCATTTTCCTTGTGAGGGAGGTAGTGTGCGAGATGTGTTTCTTGCACGCAAATAAATGTATGGGAGTGACATAGTGCCTCCATATCACATCAATTCCCAGAGAGTCCATACTTCTATCCGGGAGCCATGATCAGTACATGAATATTATTTGATCGCATTGGCACGTCAGTTGCAGCTACGTCTTTTGCCCAATGTGGTTCAATCTGGGTTTGGGTGGGACGCGAGTGGGCTGTAGGGTGGATGGCAGGCTGATAGGCGTCAAAGGGGGTGAGCGCGGCGAGCCAAGAAAGGGGGACGTCGTGAAGGGGATGCAGGGGGGGGAGGGGGCGGGGGTGAGGCCCCAAGGATTGTCAGCTGTGGACATTGGTCTCCGATTGGCTGTACTGGGAGAACCAGGTCAACTGAGGTGGATGTGAGCCCTGGGTAGTTGAGCTTTGAGATCTGCTGTCAGAGCGGGCATTATCCCTTCCCTGCATCATGGTTGATTGCTGAGGGAAAATATTTTGCACATGTTGTTCCTCCATTCTTTATCATTGCGACAATATTTTTCAGGCTGCCTACTGACAAGTTATTTTAAATCCAAGAGCAGACCTCCGGCGCATCCCACAGCTTGAGCAGCTTCTTTGTTATGACCATGTGCAAAATATCCAGTCCACACACCATTGATTGAATTTCTTATACCAACAGGTTAAGGAGCTCTTGCTGTGCGTACCATGTGAAATTTTCTCCCAATTTCCTGTCGATCAACAAAAATAATATCGGAATTGCTGCCCCCCCCCTTTCATGGGTTGATGGGAGCGCAATGCCCGTCACCCCTCATTGTTTCGGACAACAGATTGTCTAACTATGAATGGTTGGCCAAGGTTACTCCCCTCCATGGGTCAAGGGGAGGGTAATGCCCATCCCCCCTTATCCTGGTTTTGGACAATATACTGTCGAACTATGTTTGTTTGGCCAACATTATTCCCAAAGGAAGTTCCGAGGGAGGATTGTTGTCCCTGGTCTTCCTTTATCAGCAGTTGGCACTGGGAGGCCTGGTAGGCAGGGGTCCCTGGGACAAAATTTCAGGGTGGCTTTGCTGTTCATGTCCTCCATCAATGGCAGTAGAGCTACCTCCCATTCCCCTTCCCCAATTCTTCTTCTGAGTTTGAGAGGGGACATGTTTAACCCTTTTCTCCAGTCTTCCAATTCTCGCCCCTGTTAGATGTAGCAGCTGCATTGCTGATGCGGCGACTCAGGCCTCCATACCCAGTTGTGTTTGTCCTGGTTACAAGGAATCAAGGATATTATGATCCGACGTGGTCTTTTTGTGCAGCAATTTCTGTGGCTCGGCAACCTTCTTGTGCAGCAATTTCCTTGGCCTCGGCGCAATATTAGGGGAGGAGGTCGACGTCCTGCTGCTGTTCTGTTTCTCCTTTCCCCACAACCAAGGTTGTAGAAATGTCTTCAACTATTGCCTCACAGACATCCGTTGCCCTCTGCTGGTCTTCACTCTCTTTCTGGCCGACAGTTCTTCGCTGGAGGCTGGAGTCTGCATGCTCTTATGCCTTCTACTGTGCACCCTGCCCTGGAGTTGGGACCATCAAGAGGCCACCATTTCCCTTTGTGGGCCCTCACTTGTGTTCTGGCCAGTAACACTTTCTTGTAGTGTGCTCCCCATATCCCGCTCCGCTGACACTTCGGTCTGAGGGCCAACAGATATGCTCCATCTACTAACATTGCCGTAGAGCTACCTGCTGCTGTTCTGGTCCCCCCTGCCCTGCAATCAAGGTTATGGAGAGGTCTTCTACAAATAACTTAGTCCACCGTTAGCTCCTGCTCGCCTTTGCTTTCACTGTGATCAACTGTGGTGTGCTTGTGGCATGACTACGTTGACTTTGTTCTGACCGGTGGTCACTACATGGTCTGACCCGTACACAATCAGAGCTGCTGAAATGTCCTCAATTGTCACCTCTGAGGCTACTGCAGTCTAAGTGTTGTTCTCTTTCTTCACCTCCCCGCCCTGATGATGGGGATCTCAAAATTGTGTGCAGGAGTCCTTTCCTCTATCCTTATTTTCTGGATCAACATGTGCAGTCCCTTAAGCGTCTTGCTGGCGTCCAACGATTTCACTACCTTCTCCTCACTTGTTTTCAATTTTCTGCGGGTGTTGTTCTTCATGTAGACTGCCTGTCTTTAGTTGCGTCACTTTGTGTCCTTCGTCATCGACGAGTCCTCGCTTCCCAGGTATCTTGCATATGTGACTGTGTCTCTTCTTCTTCTGTACAGATCTGTATTTCAGAATACAAGTTCTTCTTCTTCAGAAAGGATGGTACCTTAACACACTGCAAGCTTCATCTTCCCTGGTTCCATCCCCAATGCTGCTGGTGCTTTTGCAAGAGATCATGTATGAGCCAGCCCTTGCTGTGGTATCTCTTGCTGTCCAGTTGATGATATGGTCTTATCATATGTAGCATCTTGTATACCAGGGCGTGGGGGGATGGGCACAAGGCTTTTGTCATAGTGCATAGTGGCGTTAGCGAATTTCTGTTCCTGATGTTGTGCCCTGACCGAGCCTGTGAGCTCTCTTTCCTCCCTGTCTGCCAGCTACCCAGAAATTACTTTGCTCTCGATTCTCATCTGGGGAGAAGGGAGTGTGAGGGCGCCATCTTCTCACCTGCACCAGTTTGCCTTCAATGGTGAGGTTAGTCAGTTTGAGTAAGTTACTCACACCTGACTTGAAGACTGTAATAGCCCTGACACCAGCCCGTGCAGCTGATTACACCAGGGCCTGATTGTCCACAAGGTGTTGAGCAGTTTTCACCACTTTGAGTCTGTCCTGAACCCATCTGAATTTGTTGTTCTGTTTACCGCAGCTGCCTATCGCCTTCTTTTTTTCTTACCTTTTCTTGCCGCTTGCATTTCTCATGACTCTTCCTCTCCCCCTTCTCTACCCCTCCACAGCTAAAGTCTTCACTCTCTCCATCCCAAGATGTGCTCATTTAGTGCCATTCTTTCCTTTCCTGTCTGTTGCTTTCTGTCCACCTACCGATCACAGCCCTGGATCGCCTGCCCGTCCTTGTCTCACCACAAAGCCTCCAACGCACCTGCCTAGATTGTCTCCGCTTTGTTTGACCTTCATCTGCTGCTGTTCCTCCACTATCCCGGTCCGACTTTGGACTGTAGTTACAAAGCCTCCAAGTAAATTTTGTCGAAATCTTCCCTGTTTACCACTAATTACATCCGATAATGACTTATATGGTCTATTATTGCTATCTCGCATAGGAGGTCCTCCTAAGCCATTATCTATTAATGCATCTACAGCTTCTTGAACTAATCTTTTTTGAGATATCATAAATGAATGCGGAGCAGGCCATATACCTTGTCGTAATTCCTGAAGAGTTGACCGCGAGCGTGCACGCGCGCTTGCTCGCTTTCACACGTACATTTTTTTAATTTTTTATAAACGTCTGGATGGACTCTCTCTCT